CTCACACCAACATTTTTATTTCTACCCCAATTTCGGGGCTTTCAAAGAGATGAACAAAAACATTTTCATTCCAAACCAAAACCAAAAAAAGTCCAACCACGTGTCCCCTCAGCATCCACATCCTTGGATGGGTCAGAAGAACCTTTTTTGGAGGTTCTTCCAAATCCCCACCTTGTCACTTTTGAAGGTTTCCACCCCACAGTCTCCAAAATCATGGATTTTGCCCCAGTTTCACTCCATTTCTCTGTGGAAGATGCCCATGGGCCAGAAACCATGGGTTGATGGTGGAGAAGACCTCTGAGGATATCTAATGTGGGTTAAGACCACCGAAAAAGGGAAAAAATGGGATTTTTGTGGGGTCAGAAGGTGACACATCCAGGAGGAGGTGGAACCTTCAGCCAGGTGTCCTCCAAACCTGGATCAAGGGGGTTCTGCCCACCTGGACTCACTCAGGACCACCCAGACCAGATCCTCCCATGTGGGATGGATTGATGGCGGAGAAGACATCCAAACCTATCTAGTGTTCCTTAAAACCACCAAAAAATGGGAAAAAATGAGATTTTTGTGGGGTCAGGAGGTGACACATCCAGGAGGAGGTGGAACCTTCAGCCAGGAGTCCTCCAAACCTGGATCACCAGGGTTCTGCCCACCTGGGCTCACTCAGGACCATCCAGAGAAGATCCTCCCATGGGGACTGATGGTGGAGAAGACACCCAAACCTATCTAGTGTTCCTTAAAACCAACTAAAAAAAGGGAAAAAATGAGATTTTTGTGAGGTCAGAAGGTGACACATCCAGGAGGAGGTGGAACCTTCAGCCAGGTGTCCTCCAAACCTGGATCAAGGGGGTTCTGCCCAACTGGGCTCACTGGGGACCATCCAGAGAAGATCCTTCCATGAGGACTGATGGTGGAGAAGACATCCAAACCTATCTAGTGTGGTTTAAGACCACTAAAAGATGGAAAAAACGAGATTTTTTGGGGTCAGAAGTTGACAAATCTGCTCTCCACAACAGATTTCAGATCTTGGACCATGGATGAGTTCAGGTGACCATGAGGAACCCGGAGGATGTGGAGCCCACAGCCAGGTGTCCTCCAAACACCGATCAAGGTGGTTCTTCCCACCTGGGCTCACTCAGGACCACCCAGACCAGATCCCCCCACGGGAGATGGAGCTGGAGAACCCCACCAAGCTCTTCCAGCACTCGGGCCACCAACACTGCTGCCCTCAGTGGAACTTCCACTGGTGCCTGGCCAGCCGGGAACTGGCCGAGAACTTCTTCCCACACTGGTGACACTGACGGGGACCATCCCCAGCGTGGATCAGCCGGTGCTTGGCCAGGTAGGAGCTGCGCTTGAAGCCCCTCCCGCAGTCGGGACAGCGGAAAGGTTTCTCCCCCTGGTGCATGTTCTGGTGTCTCCTGAGGCTGGAGCTCAACCTGAACCTCTTCCCACACAGCGAACACTCAAAGGGCTTCACGTGGGTCTTCTGGTGGGACATCAAGCAGGAGCTGGTGGTGAAGCTCTTGCCACAGTGCCCACACTCGTAGGGTCTCTCGCCGGCGTGGCTCCTCTGGTGGTAGGCCAGGCCGAGGCGGGTGGTGAAGCTCTTGCCGCACACCTCGCACTCGTGGGGACGTTCTCCCGTGTGGCTCTTCTGGTGGGCCACCAGGTCGGAGTTCAGCATGAAGGTTCTCCCACACTGGGCGCACAGGTAGGGCCTCTCACCGGTGTGGAGGCGCCGGTGGACGGTGAGGGTGCACTTCATCCTGAAGCCCTTCCCACACTCGGGGCACCGGAAGGGTTTCTCATCCGTGTGAGAGCGCTGGTGGAGAATGAGGTGGTAGCTGATCCTGAAGGCCTTCCTGCAGACATCACACACGTAGGGCCTCTCGCCGGTGTGGATGCTCTGGTGGACCACCAGCAGCGAACGCGTGGGGAAGCTCCTCTCGCACCCCCCACACTTGTAGGGCATCTCCCCGCTGTGGAACCTCTGGTGGACGATCAGGTAGGAGCCGGTGCTGAAGCTCTTCCCGCACAGCTGGCACTTGAAGGGCCTCTCCCCAGTGTGGATCCTCTGGTGGACCACCAGCTGGGAGCTCCAGTTGAAGCTCTGCCCGCACCTCCCACACTCGTAGGGTTTCTCCCCCGTGTGGCACCTCAGGTGGACCACCAGCAGGGAGCTCCTGATGAAGCTCTTCCCGCACTGCGGACACTCATAAGGACGTTCTCCCGTGTGCGTCCTGCAGTGGACGGTCAGAACCGCGCTGGACCTGAAGCCGTTCCCGCAGTGCCCACACGTGTAGGGACGTTCTCCGGTGTGGATCCTGAGGTGGACGTTGAGGGAGGAGGTATGCCTGAAGCCCTTCCCACACACCCCACACTCGTAGGGTCGTTCCCCCGTGTGGATTCTGCAATGCCGCATCAGGTAGCATCTCTGCTTGAAGCTCTTCCCACACTCGGAGCACTTGTGGGACTTCTCCTCCCCACCCTGGAGCTGCTCTTGGACCCCCAGCTCTGAG